TCTACCCAGGGGGATAGCTTGAGGCTCCGTCTCAAAAAAAAAAAAAAAAAAAAAAAAAGAGAAAATGGAAGTCAAGGAAGTAATTTAGACCTTGTACAAAGAAGGTCCAGGAAGGCCTGGTGCCTGTAGCACAGTGGTTATGGTGCTGGCTACCTACACTAAAGGTGGTGGGTTCAAACCTAGCCTGGGCCAGCTAAACAACTGCAATAACAACAACAAAATAGTAGGGTGTTGTGGCAGTGCCTGTAGTCCCAGTTACTTGGGAGGCTGAGGCAAGAGAATCCAGGAGTTGGAGGTTGCTGTGAGCTGTGACAAAACTGCACTCTACCAAGGGTCACATAGTGATATTTTGTCTCAAAAAAAAAAAAAAAAGGTCCTGGAAGGTTTTCAGCAAAATGAGGGCACAACCTCTGCACTCAGTACTTAATTTCTTCACTATTGGTGCAGGCTGTAGGCTCTTGGTTTCCCAGGAGGATAATGGACATGATTTAGGAAGAAGGGAGATCCATGGAGGCAGAAAGGCTCAAAGACAGCACTGAGACTTGTCAAGTGAGACACCAAGAAGATCGAGGAGGATTTAGGTATCTAGATTTGATCATGTTGGTGAGCTACTAAGGTTTATGAGTGAAATGACAGGAAGAAGTCTGGTAGGCTGGTGCCATGTGCAGGAAGGGAGAAGCCGGAGAATATGGCAGTCAAGTGAGTGGTAACCTGGGTTGGAACTAGTCTAGTGAGAGTGACTGTACAGAGAAGTACACGACAAAGTGGCCTTGTGAAGGAAAAAGTTCCAGTTTGGTGGCAAAATCAACACAGAGGATAAAGGAATGTAAGCAAATTTGGAGCCCTCAAATCTCAGCAAACAGGGTGTTGGTAACATTGACAGTCTAGAACAGATTGTCTTTTTCTTTTTTTTAAGATGGAAGTCCCACTGTTTCCAGAGTCTTGAACCTCTGAGCCCAAATAATTCTCCTGCCTCAGCCTCCTCAATAGCTGGGATTACAGGTGCACACCCCTATGTCCAGCTCCAGATGGTCTTTTTTCTTTTTCTTTTCAAGATAGAGCCTCAAACTGTTGCCCTGGATGGAATGCCATGGCTTCACAGCTCACAGCAACCTCCAGCTCCTGGGCTCAAGCGATTTTCCTGCCTCCACCTCCCAAGTAGCTGGGACTACAGGC